TAGAGACCATTGTATAGTCCAGCATGATGCAATCTCATTGGTTTTGCCTGTTGGGTTGGGTAAAGGGTAGTACATCGACACTTTTTTAAAAGTTAGCTTTTAGTTTTAGTTTTAGTAAGAGTTTTACGGCACTTGCAACACAATAAGGTCATATAAGTGTCGAAGATTAGAGGTGTTACAAGAGAGTAACAAACATAAAAAAGAAGGAGGGGAGATGGAGACGATAGATCTTTTTTTATAGGAAAGAAGGAGCAAACCACACCAGAGCACCCGCCAACCACCCACTCTCATTGGCTTGTTTGTTTGAGTAAAAGGTAGTACATCGACACTCTTTTTTTTTCAGTCATTAAGTTTTGGTAAAAGTTTTACAGCACTTGCAACCCAATTATTAGGTCATGTAAGTGCCGATGATTAGAGGTGTTACAAGCAGGTAACATGACAAACACAAAAAAGGAGACATAATGACCATAGACAGCATGATGCCATCTGATTGTTTCGTTTGTTTGAGTAAGGAGAAGCATATCAACACAATAATGGTCATTAAGTGCACGGGGAAAAGTAAGACAACCAGACAGAAACAACATAGAGACAAAGTAAAGATGTAAGACCTACCAGTGGCGCCCTCCAGCCACCCGCGGTGCCATCTGAAGTAATGGCGCACCCAAGATGAACAGATAGAGACAGTACAAATAATTTAACGTATTATTGGAGATGGCTTGTCTGGTATTATTGGAGAAGGCAATTATACTCCATTAGGTGACAGCCACAAACTTAAGAAAATCAGCTGTCCTTTAGGTTAAGAGCATACAAGAACTGTACAATTTTCAAAAATGACAAATAATATACATGCACACATTTTCGAATGAAGCCTCCTCTTAGACTGAAAACCCTACTGGGAACAAAGCAACGAAATAAAACAAACCACTTCTTTACTTTTCCGATCCAGAGCAACAAACCACTTCAAAAACTGGAAAAGAAGGCTGCTGATTTTATTATGTTACCACACAGCAACGGGATAAGTGAGTCTTGATTATAATGGAGTGGCTTTAGAGATAATTGACATATTGACATTTAGCGAACATTTAAACCATCTCCCCCCCCCCCTTTTTTTTAAATCTCCAATTTCCTGTTGTTCTGGATTTTTCAGCAAGCGCATAGCAGATAAAGCTTCTTAAAGAGTAACAGACGCATTGCGAGCACAATCTTCGTGACAAATCACAGTGCATTCCACTGGCAAACAACTTGACGTGACAGATATGGAATTATATATTGTAAGTTTCAGGAAATAGGAGCACATTGACACAATAATGATTACTTTGGCAGGGGAAATGTTAGACAGACAGAAACAAAGGAGGAAAAGTAGAGAATTCGGACCTGCCAGTAGCTTTCTCCAGCAGCCAATGGTATGGAACTAACATCATTTCCAGAACTGTAAGATTATCTAAAAGGCGGGATGGCCGAATATAATAACGTTCATCTCCGACATAACAGAACAAAGTAAGTATTTTTTTTATAGTAGAGGGTTTTACGGCGCTCGCAACAGCATAAGGTCATATGAGTGCCAAGGGGTGGGTGTCAACAGAGA